ACACCCCCCGGGTCCCCTCCCCAGGCCGCGGCGGCGCCTCCATCTACGGGAAACAGTTTGAGGACGAGCTGCACCCCGAGCTGAAGTTCACTGGTGAGTGGGAACTGTCGGGGGGGGGGCAGACCCCACCCCCATGGACCTCAAGACCTTGGTCATGGGGTGACATGGCCCCCAGGGCCCCACCTGTGGGGTGGCAGGGTCCCCAGAACCCCCAGGGCCCCAACCATGGGGTGGCATGTCCCCCGGGACCCTGGCCGTGGGCTGGCATGTCCCCCAGGAGCCTGGCCATGGGCTGACGTGACCCAACGAGGTTGACCATGGGGCGACATGTCCCCCAGGACCTCAGCCATTACGTGGCATGTCCTCCAGAAGCCTGACCATGGGGTGGCATTACCCCAAAGAGTCCGTCCATGGGTTGACATGTCCCAATGATAACAGAACCTTGCCCATGGTTTGACATGTCCCCTGTGTCCCCCAAGACCTCATCCATGGGGTTACTTGTCCCCCAAGACCCTCTCCATGGACCACCCTGTCTCCCATGATATCAGCTGAATCCACCCCCCCTAAAAAAAAAACATCAAACACCCCAAAACCAACCATTAACTCCATCCATCCATCCCTCCATCCATCCCTCTGTCCAACCATCCAACCAACCATCCATCTAATGTCCATCTGTCCAACCATCCATCCATCCAACCGTCCATCTGTCCAACCATCCATCCATCCCTCCGTCCAACTGTCCATCTGTCCAACCATCCATCCCTCCTTTCCTCCATCCAACCATCCATCCATCTAACGTCCATCTGTCCAACCATCCATCCCTCCATCTCACCATCCATCCAACCATCCCTCCGTACCTCCATCCATCTGTCCAACCATCCATCTGTCCAACCATCCCTCCCTCCATCCATCTGTCCATCCATACTGCCATCCATCCCTCCCTCCATCCATCTGTCCATCCATACTGCCATCCATCCCTCCCTCCATCCATCTGTCCATCCATCTGTCCAACCATCCATCTGTCCATCCATTTGTCCATCCATCCCTCCATCTCTCCATCCATCCCTCTGTCCAACCCTCCAACCAAACATCCACCTGTCCATCCCTCCATCCTTCCGTCCCTCCATCCAACCATCCATCCATCCAACCATCCATCCCTCCATCCATCCCTCCATCTCTCCATCCGTCCATCCATCCATCTGTCCAACCATCCATCTGTCCATCCATCCCTCCCTCCATCTGTCCGTCCGTCCCGCCGGGCAGGCGCGGGGATCCTGGCGATGGCCAACGCGGGGCCGGACACCAACGGGAGCCAGTTCTTTGTGACGCTGGGGCCGGCGCAGTGGCTGGACGGGAAGCACAGCATCTTCGGGAGGGTGTGCCAGGGCATGGGCGTGCTGGGCCGCCTGGCCATGGTGG